GTAATGCTAAGTCTATGGCATAGGGATAACATGGGTGATGCTAAGTCTATGGCATAGGAATAACATGGATAATGCTAAGGACATGGCATAGGAATAACATGGGTAATGCTAGGTCTATGGCATAGGAATAACATGGGTAATGCTAAGTCTATGGCAGTAATGTTATTTCAATGGGATAATGCTTTTTTTATGAAGATATACTTATTGAATCTGACATAATAAATAGAACTAATTCTTGTAAAAAACATTTAAAATTCTCAAAATAACAATAATGAGAGTATTCCAACAATCGTATTGAAAAATTTAAAATCTTTTGATGCATTTCCCGAATAGTGGTTAACGTATAGCATCGCTGTGTGAACCTTGTTTATTTTCAAATTCATTTAAATACTTGACTCAATTATAAAACAATTTCCATTATAATTACTAAAATATTAATTAAGATAAATATATTTACCCACCAAAATATAGACTTTTGAATCCAATTTGAATTGTCCCATGGTGATTTTTTGGTAATTTTAGCGCTAGCATTCATGATTCCTTTGTAATTGCACTTGTTATCTTAGGTAACTATAAAAATATTTATAAATGCTTTAAAGTTGAACACGCATACTTGAACACGCGTACACAGTTTTATACAAATTTAGATAGTTTTATTTTGATTATACAACATGATATAAGTAACAATAATGATTTTTCAAACAACATTATCTTGTGTTATACTAAAATAATAAGCAACTATAATAAGCAGGTAAAATTGGCTTTGTCACCATTTGATATATATAAATTAATAAAAATGGTAAGATGGTGGCCGCATGTCTCTAAAACATCGGGGTTGAAAATAATCGGCACTTTTGTTGAAAATTTATTTGTAGTAGAGCAACCAAAAAATGACTCATATAATATGCAAACTATTCAAAAATTATTACTTTGTCAGAAAATCATAGCACAACTAATGCTTTAAAATAAACAAATAGTTGTAATAGTCATTAATGTGCTAAAAACTATGAAAAAGCATCCGATCTGTTGCCTTAATTTGTAGATCAAATTAATTAAATTTAATAGAAATATTATACCGGGATGTGTAAATGTAGTTTGTAGCTCGCCCAATATGTGTTATAATTTTTAATTAGGAGGGTGCGAGAGAGAGAGAGAGAGAGAGAGAGAGAGAGAGAAAGTAAAAATATACAGTATACAGTGATAGTAGTGAGTTTAAAGGTAGTTATGAAAAAATGTGTATTCAATAATGATATTACTCTATAAGTTATTTTAAATATTTTATTTATATCTTTATATGTCAATTAGAAACTACAAACATATTACACATATTGAACATATTATTTATATTTTAATATCATAAATTATTATATAAAATTCTCTACTTAAGATAGTAATTAGTAAATATCAATTTGTACGATTTTTTAAATTGACCACAAATTGTTAGAAGATTAATATTTATAAATTTAGCAAAATAAATAAAAACGTAAAGTTATAACACTTGGTCTTATTTGTGTGCTAATAATAGCTATAATGTACTATATAAATAAATGGATATAATAATATAACAATCGAAATATAAATATTGTTTTAATACACAATATTAAAATACTTTTATTAGAATTGTTATACTAAAAGCATTATCAATGTTTACTCGGTGTCATATATTATACTAAAACGAAAATCTTATAGAACCACATGTAAACGTATTTTCTGATTAAAAAAGTATCCAAATGTTAATCTATTGGGGCTCTTCATGTTAACCTAGTGATCAACTTCTTGGCTGACTTTTTATAAATGACATCTAAAACTCATCTTAAAAATCAGTCTTAAGAGTCACACTTAAAAAACTCTAGGAATGCCTCAACCAACGATTTGAGCAAATATTAGATTAAACAAAACTTTATTTACATGTCTAGTGTCCGAGTAATTAATTGTTAAACAGAGGTCACTTTAGAAATCCTGCCAGTATGTCAAACAATTAACTTTTTCAATCCTTAACAAATTAATGCTTTTTTAGTTCTGACGGAGTGGCGCTTCAATCTACACACTATTTGTTCATCTTCACTGCTGTGGCTTTTCAGTGGAGTTTACTCTAATATTGAGTGGCGATGTATAACACTGTATTTATATCACAACTTTGGGATTAATACAGACGTATTTCCCCACACTCCCAATATTCAAATAACTTAAACAACTCACACACAGCGATGCTATACGTTAACCACTATTCGGGAAATGCATCAAAAGATTTTAAATATTTCAAAACGATTGTTAGAATACTTTCACTATTATTATTTTGAAAATTTTAAATGTTTTTGACAACAATTAGTTTTATATATTATGTCAGATTCATTTAGTATATCTCCACAGAAAAAGCATTATCCCATTGAAATAACATTACTCTCATAAACTTAGCATTACCCATGTTATCCTTGTGCCATAGACTTAGCATTACCCATGTTATCCCTATGCCATAGACTTATCATTGTCCATAGACTTAGCATTACCCATGTTATTTCTATGCCATAGATTTAGCATTATCCATGTTATTCCTATGCCATAGACTAAGCATTACCTATGTTATTCCTATGTCATAGACTTAGCATAACCCATAGACTTATCATTGCCATAGACTTAGCATTACCCATGTTAAACCTATGTCATAGACTTATACAGTAATTCAATAGAAACCCATTGAAAACTTTTCCCATAGGATTAACATTGCCATAGACTTAACATTAGTTACATATTCGGACTCAGCATAAAAAATCACATAAGAATTATAGAGGATTTCGTTCAAAAATGAGTTTGAATTTAACATTATTTCTATGAAGAAAATCGCAAAAATGAGCTTATTTCCATTTATCTAAATGAATTTTAGGAATATAGTAAAACCATTAACGTGTGTCATTTCTGGGAAGTTTTTGTTTAATTTGGTGAAGACAGACTCAAAATAGGACAATTCGTTCAAGAGCTGCACTCGTTGAAACAGCTTCCGATAGTTTATGACATTCAGTGTATATGCGGAACTATAGATAGGCTGAACCCATAAATAAACCCTAAATTGACGGTATTTGCAATTAAACTATCTTAATAAATATGATTATTTAAATTTTAAATCAAAATTGTTTTTAATTGACATATTTTATTATTAAATATGCCCATAAATAAGCCAAACCCACAGATAAGCCGATTCGCTAACTTATTCATAAAATGCACTTTTTTCATCAGATAAGCCGCGGCGTATCTGTGGGTTTTTAGGGTATATAAATATATTGTGGTTAGAAATACTGTACTCATGATTGATATTTCTGAGAGTCGAGTATATGTCTCATCTGAATGAGAGCCGAATGCAGATTATGTTGTAGTAATTGAGCGCTCGTTTCGCCACAACTCTTATACGAGGATATAGTGAACGAGTATTGATGCGGTTCTATGCCATAGAAGAATGAGTACCCGTTCTCTACCATCGGTGGCACACATCTGCATATATTCCCATAACCGACACAACTGGTCGACAACACAAAGTTGTCGTTCCCTCCGCTCCGTGTGTACGACGTGTCGGCGTAGAGCTCCGGCACTTCCATCCCGTTCTCCACGGCTGTCAGATAGAGGCCGAGTAGGTGTCGATCGCATCCGCGACCGTTACACGCGTTAACCATTGTTTGTCGTAACTTTTCACCCGCTTTGATCATCATAGCGTACAATTGGCTCTCCTATTAAAACAAAACAAACGCATTCTAAATAATAAACATATATTTGGCGCTACATCTAAATGCGGTCTCACATTATTGGTGCCGTCGGTGACGGCTTTGGCAAATGCAACGTTTTCTGCCACACACGATCGCCACGTCTCGGTGCGACCATGGTAAAACCTGCGAGTGCCAGCCGTGCAATAAGTGGGCGCCGCTTTGCCGTGTGTGCGATAGTAAGCCAATTGAATGGCCATTTGGATGTAGGCCTCGGGATGTATGCGGTGTTTAGCTGACACGGATCGGCCGTATTCTGCAAACACTTTAAATGTGATTTCTAATGTTTTGCATCTATTTATGTGATTAAACTTTGCGATTGCGATCTCTTCGCACAATTTGGCGTCGAGTTTAAAGTGAAGCAACACCGGCTCCGGGAGGGCTCTCATTGTTTTGCTTCCAATGTAAACGCCTTGACATTCATTGATTGACATTTGTATGTATTGGACTTTGATGGCCACAACCATCGCATCAAATGAGGTGTGCTTTGAAATAAATGAAAACATTTAAAATAAATATAGAATTTACAATTTGATTGCTATTTTAATTACTTCGGAATTATCGCCAAAATTTCCATTAATATAAGCGATACTGGAGTAAGATTTGTCGGCCCAACGGTTCTCACAGCAGTCACCTAAAAGTGCCTCACGTATAATCTATCAATGATAACAATAACTAGTAACCAGGTCTTTACTATTTTGTAACAATGTATACTATTTTGACTTTGTACACTATTTGTTTGTTTAAAAGAATTAACCCAAAAATTAATATTTATACATCTTACATATACATTTTGTTTTGTATAAAAACATTGCTTGTATTAAACAATTAAAGTCATGTGTTAAAAGAGTTTAAAATTGCAAACTATTAATTTATCAAAATTATATTTAGTATATGTATTTTAAATAATAGCCTTTGAATTGCAATCAATTTTTAAGACTGATTATGAGTTTACATCATATGATTAATCTAATTTAGAACTATTTAAAGCTTTTAAATATATTATTGACCAATATTTATTGATTTTTAACACTATTATTCAAACTAACAATAACTGGCATTAATATAAAGGGTGTCGCAATGAATTAGTACTATTTGATAGCTTATATTTTTTAAACAAATTATACCTGATTATAACTATTTTCCTTTTTGATTAATAGTGGAAATCTAATAGATTTAACTAAATATTAATTTGGTATAATTAAAATTTTATTTAACTGGCGTTTGCTTAATCAGGAGGACTTTTATTAACAATTTCTACATTTATATTGTTTTTAGATTTTGATGAACTTGCTTAATTCTGGAAATTGTTGTCTTACGAGCGAACTTTGTCTGGTGCCACCAAGATATCTTAATGAATTGTGGATATTCTGGTAGAGTAGAGCATAAAAAATAATTTAGACACAATATTTTTTGCTGATACTCATCCGGGGGGTTGTGGGAAGCGTTTGAACACTTGAGATGCATAGTGGTAATATATAGGGTGTGCAGAGCGGATGCACACTTACAGGGGTACAGGCTATGCATTTACTCTATGCATCTCAAGTGTTCAAACGCCTCCCACAACCCCCCGGATAAGTATCAGCAAAAAATATTGTGTCTAAATTATTTTTTATGCTCTACTCTACCAGAATATCCGCAATTCATCAAGATATCTTGGTGGCATTAGACCAAGTTTCCTTGTTAGATGGATAATGATAATTTAAAATATTGAGTGTCATAAGTACTAAGTTAATTTAAAATTATTATTAATTTTACGCACCTGTATTTATCACAGTAATTTTATTTTTGAATTATTTATTTAAGCGTTATTTCTCAATAAAATAGCTAACATCTAATAACCATTGAACTTATTATGTAGATTAATATGGTTCTATTATAAATTAAGAATATTTTGAAAATTCTGATATTTATTTAAATTTCTGAAAAACGAAATCCGTTTTCTTGACAGTCATTACTTAAATAATACATTTAGTTTAAGTATTGTCATAGAAATAGGCAAGAACATTAGTGAAATTGTATTATTAGTTCCCGGAGATAAATTGGATTATAATTGCCTGATCTACACGTGTATATAATAAAATACTAATTCAATGTTTTCCTATGAAAATACACAATAGTACAAAATCATTGGAACACCGTTTACATGTGTGACAACAATACCTGATCCTGAGTGACGGGTTGATTGTCATCCAAAGTCACGCAAAACATTGACAACTCGATTGTGTCTAAAGTTTTCTTGTTTTTGGAATTCAATTGAATCAAATACTCGCGATTTAGAGCCCATTTAGTTCTATCAGTGGTGGTAAGAGCGCCGACACCGGGACCGGCGTTGAGCTGTCGTTGACACCAGTCCTCGATGTATCTCAACTGGTGGTCAATTTCATAGGCGTTCAAGAGATTGTCATTTAGTGTCAAATCAAAGCTAAACACATATCCTCTGTAGAGGACTATTAGGTTAGTCGGAGCCGTCGGGCCTTCAGATTCTGTTAATTGTAGTCAAAAGTAATAATTAAGATGAAGTTAAATGTTAACCATGATAAATAACGAACTTTAATTTGCTATAATCTTATCTAAACGTATCTATACTTTAATACAAGTAAGAACAGGGATCGGCATGTTGAAATGTAATAGTAAATAGTGAGTACTGTATGAGTTATAAATATAGCGAAGTGTAGACAGATTGATATTTGATAGCATTAGTCATGCTATAACTAAAGTATAACCTCACTATACAAACGTGACCCTAAAGTGACCCTTGCGCCGATTAGTGAGTATGAATAATATAGTCGGCCATAACTACTGACGAAGAAATGGCAAAATATATTGTATTTACTTTTATACGGGTTTAAAGGCCTTATGGATATAGTTTACAGATTACTTATCTAACACAATATGTAATGTTATATTGCGACCAAACACTGACCCGTTTTAAAACAAGTCAATAATAAGTCCTTTGTTTGGCCGGGAAGTCGGCACGTATTGAAAAGTCGGCGAAACTGATTCATAGCCAAGGGTTCCATTGGTTTGTGAATTACTGGTTGTAATTGTTCTCTAAAATGTGTGTCAAAAACTAATCGTTAGATTTAACACTGGATTTATTGGTAAATCTGTCGCTCACTTTCTGATGAGTTGCCAGAATTGCAATCGAAAACTAATGATTAGCGCCAACCGCTCGATACGAGTGCCCGTCTGAATGGGCCAGAAATGAATGTTGGGCTGAGAGCCCGTCATGTTTGAGAACGGTATCAATGGATGCCTTTGTCGCAGATATGCCACGTCTTCCCACCACTCCTCCAACTAATGCAATACAAACATAAATGCAATCAATCAATGTGTCACAACATAAACATCAAACTATCAAACAATTACCCAATTCTTGCGCTCTTCTGATCTCTTAACGAGCTTTTGCTGCAAATGAATGGCCACTCCGTACTCAAAGTTGCGAACAATGGCCTCAGTTTTCTCGTACTCTTCATCGGTGACCACCGGTCGCACGGTTTCCAAGTAATGGCCTAAAGTGGACCTGAGCTGAGGCACCGGCAGTGACGGCAGTTTGTCTTCGTTCTCAAACGTCCGATTACTGGTCGACTTAAACGCGTCACTCAATTCGGCCATTTTCCTGGTCAGACTCTACGGCAAATACCGATAGATTTCTGTGATATAAATTCATTACTCTTTAAATGTATTTAAATTGCATCTGTTTAGAAATACTGTATAACTAAATAATTACTAATTATAAACATTAATTAAATTGAAAATGGTTTATCTGCCAGATATTGTTAGCATAGAATAGAAATAGATAAGAATAGAACACTGATTTGAGTTCATTATTTTTATAAATAAAATGATATTTAACATCACCTATGATAGCCAAGTTCTTGTTTATTACTTTTATATTTGACGGCAGCAAAAATCTGGATATCTTTAATATCAATATACAAACCGGTAATTATTTCATACATATACAGTATTTCATTAAAATATAAGATTTGTAACCACAATTCAGTATGAATAATGTGGTTTATGAGATTGTTCGGCTTCCCTTCCCCCTTCGCCCTCACCTTATGGAATTTAACATGGGATTTCAGCTCAAGTCTATGGCAATACTTTAACATGGGCAATGTTAAGTCTATGACATAAATAACAGAGGCAATGCTAATCCTATGGACAATGCTAAGTCTATGGCATAAGAATAACATGGGTAATGCTAAGTCTATGGACAATGTTAAGTTTATGACATAGGGATAACATGTGTAATGGTATATCAATGGGACAATGGGATTATAAATGAATTTGCCATAATAAATAGAACTAATTGTTGTCAAAAACATTTAAAATTCTCAAAATAATTATAGTGAAAGTATTCCAACAATAATATTGAAAAATTTAAAGTCTTTGATGCATTTCCCGAATTGTGGTTAACGTATAGCATCGCTGTGTGAACCTTTTTTTAAATTAAATTTATTATGTTAAAAATACAGAAAATTAATTAAATAATAATTATTTTATAAATACTTTTATTAATTATTAATTATTATAAGTAAATATCTGCATTACAAAAAATTACTTGAAATTATAAATATGTGGAAATAACAAAAATTAGATAAATATATTATTAAAGCATCAAAGCAGTATGTCATATAAATTAAATAAATTAATCTGCGAAACATTTAAACCCGTTGTGCGGGTAATTTAAACTTATAGGTATAGGAATCCCCGGTTGAGCCAATCTTATTTTTGCCCGTCCCGATCACACCTTTATTAAGCCCTGTATTAATAGACACACCAGAGCTAACCTGAGCCCCATCACGCAATTTGCTTAGCAATACACTCAATTGGTTGGCATCAATATCGGCCCCTCCTGTGCGCGACAACTGGGCGGCAAACTCGGGGCTCCCGTCAACGCCCGACTGTCCCGACACTAGCGTATAGTTGTATGAGTCGCCGGTAGTGCCGATCATATTCATGCCGGTCCCGATCGCTCCCTTATTAACCCCGGTATTGATGGACACACCGCCAGCGCTGGCCTGTAATTTGGCCAACAATGCGCTCAATTGGTTGGCATCCAAAGAGACTCCGTTTGTCGACCACTGGGCGCCCGACTGTTGGCCCGACAGTTGGGACACAGCCTTTCCGATGAGTCCATTCATGTCTAATCCGACACCAGTTTGGGATCCACTGACGGATTGTTGCCCACCGTTGGTGTACTGACCGCTCCATGAAGTGTGGCTATTTTTAGATCCACCGGAAGTGTGTCCACCAGAAGACAAATCGCCGCTCATCTGTCCTTTAATGGCAGTCAAATCAGTGGCGGCACCGGTAGTGCCAGTACTGCCGGACGTGTAGTCATAACCCCACGAATTGCCCGACGAGTGTCCGCCCAATTGGCCTCCATTTCCGGTGACAGATATATCATTGCTAATTACACCAGTTTTGCCGCCAGTGGCTGAACCCTGAACTGCGGTACTGCCGGTCACTGCGACGGATCCGCTGACACCCGACGATCCGGTGGTTTGGGATCCGCTCGATGTCGAGGACGAGGAAGAGGACAATGAGGAGCTGGAATCGGATGAGTGAGAGTTGTGGCCCAGTGTTTGGCTACCAGTTGTGCCGTAAATGTGTCCATTCAGGTCACCCAAAATGTTTTTACCACTAGTAGTAGCTGTGGTTTCTGTGTTGACAGAGTGTCCGCCAACGGATCCAGTATTAGTTTGGCCGACAATTTGTGTTTGACTTTGTTGTTGACCAGTAGTTCCGATGCCTCCCAATTGACCGGTAGTTATAGCCGCAGTGTTGCCACCGATTTGATGGCCAGAGTTGTGCGCACCAGACAATTGCGATGACCACTCGTTGTTATCGCCAGTCGAGAGTCCCGATTGACCGCCAATAATACCGCCAACACTGCCAACGGTTCCGCAAATGTGTCCCTTTATGTCACTTGAAACGTCTTTTCCCGTTGTAGTGGCGGTTCCGGCGGTGACCGATACGTGTCCAACAGTTGATCCGGTGTTGGTTTTGTCAACAACTTGTGTGCTGTGGTGTTGACCAGTGGTTCCCATTCCGTGGTATAATAAATGGTTTTGCAAATCTTTAAGACCATTGACATCAACACCAATGCTTCCCAAATGACCGCTCAATACACCGGTATTTGATCCGTGAGTCCCAGCGTTTGTACCAAAGGTAAAACCACCCGTTTTATGGCCAGAGTCTTGGGAACCGCCTGATGAGTGCGACGACCACTCGGATGACCAACCGTTCTGTCCTCCCGTTGAGTGTCCCGATTGGCCGCCAATTATAGCACCGATTTGGTGATCATTGAGAGCGCCCTCAACTCGTTGTCGGCCCTCATTGTGGGCCAACTCGAGACTGCCTTTAAACTGACCGGTAATGTCTGCACCGCTCGACTGGTGCCCAGAGGCCCAGGCTTTTGCTCCTGTAGTGACACCACCCGTATGGCCGTTCACAGAGCCTGAGCTCAATTGATTTCTAACTCGTTCATTGAGATTAGCGGCCAGACCACTGCTTTGGACACCTCCGCCGCTAACCCATCCGACTCTTCCCAATCCACCGCCAAATGATTGTCCATTGAGTCGACCCATTAAACCACCAAATCCTGCATCAGATCCCTGGCCACTACCGCCACATCGGGGTTCAATCACTGCCGCCACTGATAGGCCAATCAGTCCTGTAATCACCAATAATTTGTACATTATATCAAACAATAAGTTTTACTTTTATATAAGTTTTGTATTTAACTGTTAATATCAGTCAAAGTTATTTTTGTAATGAAATTTCATTCACAACTTACTCTTTATATACTATTTTTAAGACAAACATTTGTCTGTCCTTTACATCCGTCTCTGTATTATATAATCAATTATTTATTTATGAAAATAACAATTTATTTATAAATCTCATTAATTATCTGTTCTTACGTTATATTCCCAATAATTACTTTTACAAAAAATATATAACACATGATATTTCAAAATTATTTTATAATCGACACATAAATAAACTAGCATAGTGATTTATGTCATAAAAACTACAGGTATTACGAAGTACATGAGTTACTACAATACATGTATATAATGACTATTTACGGATATATTTAATTATTTATGATTGAACACAACTGGATGAAAATAATTACCAATAAAAATCATATACTTATTGACTTAGGAACGAACCACTGTTATACACACAACAGCAATATAATCCTGGTAAATAAATCAAAAATTTATAAATGTAAAGCCTTAAAAATTTGTAAATAGCAATTGCTACCGGATTTATCTGCCTTATAATAAATAGTATAAATCTAAAATTAGTAATAAATCAGATTCATCATTTTATTTTATAAAGTTTGTTAAATACACCGGTATTATTGTTTTTATTAATATATTAATTATTGTAGCATTAAATTGTTTATTTAAACTTATTAAACTATATTTTAATTATGTTAATAAATTACAACCGTGATCATACTGTGCCACTAAAGTAAATTAAATAATATACCATAATACCGTTTGCTACAAATGTTATTAATTAGCTATAAGAATATAAGGCTACGACTGATTGGGCGCCAGAAGCGCTCCGCCGTCGACAGGCATTAGAAGTCCGGTAATGAATGAGGCGGTGATCGGAGAGCACAGGAACGCCACGGCTTCGGCCACGTCCTCGGGTTCACCCATACGTCTCAATGGATAGCACTCTCGGCACAGCTTTTCATAATATGTTGACAATTTCTTATTACCGGTCGCCGTCTCAAAGATCGGGGTCCGTATGGCTCCCGGACTATACATTTATATAAGTGTGTATATATTTTGTTATACATATCATAATTGTTATTATATTTTGATTACATATAAATTCAAACATGTAACTCACAGAACGCTATTCACGCGAATGCCTTTTGGTGCCAACTGTAGTGACAAGCATTTAGTGAACATATCCAGGGCACTTTTTGCCATACAATAGCTCATAGCTCTCCATTGCTAGTGACAATGTTATAAATATTTAATTGAAATAATGATATGATTAATGAATTTTATATAAGAAGTACATACGGGTATGAGTGTACCCAAAGTCGATATATTAACGATATTTCCTTTTGTAATCTCCAGATACGGGACAACCAATTGTGTCAACACTTGAACGCATCGCAAGTTTGCATTCATAGCCATATCGTATGCCTCCAAATACTTGGGCCCTCCAAACTTGCCAGTTGTGAGGGCACCGGCGTTATTGACCAATATATCAATTTTGCCCAACTCTGCAATAGTCTTCGCCACCAATTCCTCGATGTCTTTGTCCACCAATAAGTCAGCCCTCACTCCGAGTGCTCTTTGATTGTCTCGTTTCTGGCATTTGTTGACCACTTGTTGGATGCGTTTATCATCCCTTCCAGTGATGACAACATTTGCGCCCAAAGACCACAACTTTATGGCAATCCCTTCGCCGATACCCGAAGACGAGCCTTCAATATATGATTACAAACATTACATCAAATATTTAAAACTTACAAAATTTAATAATACCTGTAATTAATGCAACCTTTCCTTTGAAATCCATTTTACTAAACTTGTTAAATGTTTTGTATAGAAATTATTTCATAATAAAACTAAATACTTGATATATCGTGGTATGTTAATGCTTTCAAAATTTTAATTGCCAAACAAAATGACAACGATTAATATTATACTATTATTGTAAATTCTTCTAGATGTAATATTTTAAATGATTATACTAAATTTTGACTTATTAATAGTCGTAGCAATTAAAATTTTATATAATGCTTAAAATGTAAAAATTGCATTTAATCATGATTATTCCTAATTTTAAACAGTCATCAAATAACTCGTCATCTCATGTGTTTAAATTTTATTTATAATTAATTCAATAAAATTACATAAAAATTATTTTACATTAAATATTTAATAAATAATTATTAACAGCGTTTAAATATTTAGTAAATTACATTCATTTCTTATAACATTAATGTAAATAATTAAACAGTTTAAGAGAGAAATCATGTAAATGTTTATCTCATTTATAAATACTATTCATTAGTTTTATACAATATAATATATTGCATGTTTTGTTGTTTCGTTAACTCAACACAATTTAATCATTCAATTGGTATTTCTATAAACATGTTCTTATTTTTAAAAATTGTTGTAGAATTTAAACATTTAATCTCTTTTCAAGCGAATAAATACCTAATACTTATAATCTATTTTATAATTTAAATTGAACTTTTTTCTTATTAAAAATATATATTTTGTTTTAAAATATTTCCTAAATTTTATATAAAATAGTAATCTATTAATTCATAAGTTCATAAATATTTTTATTGATATGGTTTTAGAAAAATATAGTATAAGCGATAAAATCAATGAAAATTATATCAAAAAAATTCATTAAAATTATAATTAATATATGATATATTTTTAAACATAAAGTAGAGTTCAAAACTATTAAACTTATCGGTAAACTCGGGTAAAGTAAAGCTATCATAAAACTCATCGCCGATAGTTATAACCCAACGAACTGCCCGACAGGTGTCCTCCACACTGACCTCCATTGAGTGCATTCACATTCAAATCACCACTAATTACACCAGTTTTGGCTCCACTCACGTATCCGCTGACACCCGACAAACCCGTGGTTTGGGATCCGCTCGACGACGGGGAAGAGGAGGAGGTGGAGGACCAGGAGCTGGAATCGGATGAGTCTGACTTATGGGCCACTGTTTGACCCGTAGTTATGCCGTAAACGTGTCCATTCATGTCACCTAAAAAGTCTTCACCACTAGTAGTAGCGGTTCCGGTGTTGACAGACATGTGTCCGCCAACGGATCCAGTATTAGTTTGACCGGCAATTTGGGTTTGACTTTGTTGGCGCCCAATGGTTCCGATGCCACCCATTTGGCCCGTGATTACGGTCTCACTATTGCTTCCGCTTTTGTGATCAGAGTTGTGCGCACCCGACGATTGCGATGACCACTCGGACGACCACTTGTTGTTACCGCCAGTCGAGTGTCCCGATTGACCGCCGATAATACCGCCAACACTGCCAACGGTTCCGCAAATGTGTCCCTTTATGTCACTTGAAATGTCTTTTCCCGTTGTAGTGGCGGTTCCGGTGGTGACCGACACGTATCCAGCAGTGGATCCGGTGTTGGTGTTATCAACAACTTGTGTGCTGTGCTGTTGACCAGTGGTTCCCATTCCGTGGTTTTGCCAATCCTTAAGGCCATAATAGTTGACACCAATGCCTCCCAAACCACCGCTCATTACACCGGTATTTAATCCGTGAATCGCGGCGACTGAGCCGTAATTAAAACCATCGCTTTTATGGCCAGAGTTTTGGGAACCGCTCGACAATTGCGACGACCAGTCGGAAGCCGAGCCGCTCTGTCCGCCAGTTGAGTGTCCCGATTGGCCACCAATTATAGCCACGATTGGGTGACCATTGAAAGTGTCCGCCACTCGCTGTCGACCCTCATTGTGGGCCAAATCGAGGCTGCCTTTAAACTGTCCGGCAATTTCTGCACCGGTCGACTGGTGCCCATTGACGCAGTTGTGCGCACCGGTGGTCACACCTCCCAGAAGTTGGCCCACAGAGGTTGAGCTCAACTGATTTCTAACTCGTTGACTGATCCCTGAAGTCAGAGCACTGCCGCCAAAGCCACTTTGGACGCCTCCTCCGCCGCTAAACCATCCGACTCTTCCCAATCCACCGCCAAATGACTGTCCGTTTTGTCCAAATTGATAGTCATATGCGGATTGTCTGCCCGATAGACCCCCCGCTCCTCCGCCACATCGGGGCTCAATCACTGCCGCCACTGATAGGCCTATCAGTCCTGTAATCACTAATAATTTGTACATTATTTTAGAAAAATAAGTTTTGTTATTCACAGTATTTGTATTTAACTGTTAATATCAGTCAAAATTGTTTGTTTAATGAAATTTTATTCACAACTTTTGCTTTTATACCCTTTTTTGGGCACATATTTGTCTGCTCTTTAGTTCCGTCTTTCAATTATTTAAATAATTATTATTTATTTAGAAAAATAATCATTTATTTATAAATCTCATTATTTAAGTGCTCTTTACTTATACTGTACTTTTATATTAATAATAAAAATATAAAACACATGTTATTTGACAATAATTTCTATAAATGTATACATTTTTAAATTAATCATAGTGATTTAATTATATTTTATATAACATTGAAACATTCTACACAAATATTATATAATATATAATTTTTAGCATTTGTATTTAATTAATTATTAATACAGTTTATGCAAAAACAATATGATCCTGATAAATAAATTTAAAAATGTTTTTTACGATAGGAGAATTTTTCGAGACCAATAGCTACCGGGTTTATCAGATCCTATTATTTGCAATAACTTTTATTTAATAAATTATTGTATTTTATTTCAATGTAAAAAATATTAAATTAATTATAATTATTTTATGTATATTTGTTAAATACAAATATTTTATTTTTGCATAAATTATTATTATTATTTAATTTTATAATTAAAGTTATAACCCAAATAAAACTTTAGCAATTTAAATTTGCATTAAATAATTTTTACAGTTATTTCCCAAAAACGCAAAATTTAGATATTTTAATTTATTATATTTAAATAATTAACTTTTTAAAATTTTCATTCCGATTTAATATACAATAATAATAATAAAAAGTGTAACTAATAATCGGGTAATTTATTGAGATTTATTTTTACTGTAAGATTTGATATAAAATGTAAAAAACATGTAGAAAAACACAAATGGTTGAACACAAACAGCCAATTGTAGAGCAATGGGATAACCGCTGCAATCGCCATAAAGCAGACCATTAATAATACAATACCCGAAGAATGCGAACTGTATTAACTGCAATCGTGTGATATATCTCTTCCACCATAAATAGGGCTGTATTTGGGGTCCAAATGCCGACAATAGATAATATCACATAACTGTGTGTACTATTGAATTGACAAAAGCAAACATCTCGAAAACAGATGATCGCACACAGAGTTTGCTCGTAATATACATCAATACAGGAACTAAATTGTTATATAAAAATTAAATAAAAGTTACAATAATGTATTATCCATTGGTTAATATGGAAAGAGTTACGTTAAAATATTTATTTACCCATAAAGTGATGGTAAACGTGAAGAAATGTGATTTGATTTGACTTTTTTCTCAACACAAAGAATACGGTATCGAATAAATCAATGAGTTTTGAGTAAAAATACACCACTTTATCGGGTATTTCTGCGATCTCTTTGTCCGACCATTTGTTACGTTCGGGTTGTTTCGGGTCCCAAGACTTGCGGCCAAACTCTAGCCATTCAAACGCTTTGTATGTAAAATAAGCATTGATTACAACTAATATAAAGTTATAAAACATTATTATTTCGCGCAAAACAAACGGCTTTCGGTCTCTCATGAGATTTGGTCCCAATTTTGTGACAAATATAAGCCATAAAAACATAATCGTTAGGAAGAGCTCCGGACCACCGCTTAACAGGAAATAATTGACCACATTTTTGTCTTATTTTCCCAATTTTAAGGAATATAAAGAATTTTCCGGCGCAAAACTATTTTCCTGGAAGATAGTTTTGAAAAATGGGAAATGACGAACATTATTTATATGTAATCAAAATATAATAACAATTATGATATTTATAACAAAATATATACACATTTATATGAATGTATAGTCCGGGACCCATACGGACCCCAATCTTCGAGACGGCGACCGGAAATAAGAAATTGTCGACATATTATGAAAAGCTGTGCCGAGAGTGCTATCCATTGGGACGTATGGGTGAACCCGAGGACGTGGCCGAAGCCGTGGCGTTCCTGTGCTCTCCGATCACCGCCTCATTCATTACCGGACTTTTAATGCCTGTCGACGGCGGAGCGCTTCTGGCGCCCAACCAGTCGTAGGCTTATATTCTTACAGTTAATTAACAGCATTTGTAGTAAAGTATTATGGTACAATATCTAATTTACTTTAATGACACTGTATGACCGAGCTAGTAATTTATTACTTTAATTAAAATGTGGTCTAATATGTTTAAATAAACAATTTAATGCTACAATAATTGTAATAATTATTATCATTTATTAGATTTTAAATTGTTAGATTTTATATTACAACTTACAGAAAAAAATCAATCTCAATAAATATATTTTTTGCATACTTTAGTTATTTAATTATTTTTCTTATAACCTATTAACCTCCTAATTAATATAATAATTTGATTATAATCAATATGCATGGATTAATAAAAACAATCATATTGGTGTTTTTAACAAACATTTTAAAATAGAATGATAAATCTAAGTGATTACTAATTGTACATTTATATTATTTATTATAAGGCAGACAAATCCGGTAGCAATTGCTATTTACAGATTTTATGGTTTTACATTTATAAAGCATACATAAATTATTGATTTATTTACCATGATTATATTGTTATTGTGTGTATAACAGTTGTATAAGTATATAATTTTTATTCATAATTAATTGTATCCAGTTGTGTTTAATCATAAATAACTAAATATATCCGTAAATAGTCATTATATATTGTATAATAGTAACGCATGTAATACTGTACCTGTAGTTTTAAACAACACAAACTATGCTAGTTTATTTATAAGTGTCAATTATGAAATAATTTTGAAATTCCATGTGTTATATATTTTTGTAAAAGTGATTATTGAGAATATAACTTAAGAGCAGATAATTTATGAGATTTATAAATAAATTGTTATTTTCATTAATAAATAATTGATTATATAATACAGAGACGGATGTAAAGGACAGACAAATGTTTGTCATAAAAATGGTATATAAAGAGTAAGTTGTAAATGAAATTTCATTACAAAAACAATTTTGACTGATATTAACAGTTAAATACAAAACTTATTAAAAAGTAAAATTATTGTTTGATATAATGTACAAATTATTAGTAATTACGGGACTGATTGGCCTATCAGTGGCGGCAGTGATTGAGCCTCGATGTGGCGGTAGTGGCCAGGGATCTGATGCAGGATTTGGTGGTTTAATGGGTCGACTCAACGGACAGTCATTTGGCGGTGGATTGGGAAGAGTCGGATGGGTTAGCGGCGGAGGCGTCCAAAGCGGTGGTCTGGCCTCTAATCTCAATGAACGAGTTAGAAATCAATTGAGCTCAAGCTCTGTGAGCGGCCATACGGGTGGTGTCACTACAGGAGCAACGGCCTGGGCCTCTGGGCACCAGTCGAGCGGTGCAGACATTACCGGTCAGTTTAAAGGCAGTCTCGAGTTGGCCCACAATGAGGGCCGACAACGAGTGGAGGGCGCTCTCAATGGCCACCGAATCGGTGCTGTAATTGGCGGCCAATCGGGACACTCAACGGGCGGACAAAACGGCTGGTCATCTGAATGGTCGTCGCAATCATCGAGCGGTTCCCAAGACTCTGGCCATAAAACGGGTGGTTTTACTTGCGGTACAAACGCCGGGACTTACGGATCAAATGGCGGTGTTTTGAGCGGTCATTTGGGAGGCATTGGTGTTAATGTCAATGGTCTTAAAGATCTGCAAAACCATTTATTATACCACGGAATGGGAACCACTGGTCAACAGCACAGCACACAAGTTGTTGATAAAACCAATACCGGATCCACTACTGGACACGTGTCGATCACCACCGGAACCGCCACTACAACGGGAAAAGATATTTCAAGTGACATAAAGGGACACATTTGCGGAACCGTTGGCAGTGTTGGTGGTAAAATCGGCGGCCAATCGGGACACTCGACTGGCGGTAGCAACGAGTGGTCGTCCGAGTGGTCATTGCAATCGTCGGGTGCGCACAACTCTGACCATCAAATCGGAGGAAACACTGCGGCCATAATTACCGGACAATTGGGAGGCATCGGAACTACTGGTCAACAACAAAGTCAAACACAAATTGCCGGTCAAACTAATACTGGATCCTTTGGCGGATACTCTGTCAACACCGGAACCGCTACTACTAGTGATAAAGACATTTTAGGTGACCTGAATGGACACATTTACGACACAATCGGTAGCCAATCACTCGGTCACAACTCGCACTCATCCGATTCCAGCTCCTCATCGTCCTCTTCCTCGTCCTCGACATCGAGCGGATCCCAAACCACCGGATCGTCGGGTGTCAGCGGATCCGTCGCAGTGACCGGCAGTACCGTAGTTCAGGGTTCAGCCACTGGAGGCAAAACTGGTGTAATTAGCGGTGATTTATCTGTCACCGGAAACGGAGGCCAATCTGGCGGACACTCGTCGGACAATTCGTGGGGCTATGACTACTCGTCCGGCAGTACTGGCACTACCGGTGCCGCCACTGATTTGACTGCCATTAAGGGACAGATGAGCGGCGACTTCTCTTCTGGACACACTTCCGGTGGATCTAAGGATAGCCACACTTCATGGAGTGGTCAGTACACTAACGGTGGGCAACATTCCGTCAGCGGATCCCAAACTGGTGGCGGATTAGACATAAATGGACTCATCGGAAAGGCTGTGTCCCAACTGTCGGGCCAACAGTCGGGCCAACAATCGGTCCAACAATTGGGCCAACAGTCGGGCGCCCAGTGGTCGACAAACGGAGTCTCTTTGGATGCCAACCAATTGAGCGCATTGTTGGCCAAATTACAGGCCAGCGCTGGCGGTGTGTCCATCAATACCGGGGTTAATAAAGGAGCGATTGGGACGGGAATGAATATGATCGGCACTACCGGCGACTCATACAACTATACGCTAGTGTCGGGACAGTCGGCCGTTGACGGGAACCCCGAGTTTGCCGCCCAGTTGTCGCGCATAGGAGGGGCCGATATTGATGCCAACCAATTGAGTGTATTGCTAAGCAAATTGCGTGATGGGGCTCAGGTTAGCTCTGGTGTGTCTATTAATACAGGGCTTAATAAAGGTGTGATCGGGACCGGAAAAAATAAGATTGGTTCAACCGGGGATTCCTATACCTATAAGTTTAAATTACCCGCACAACGGGTTTAAATGTTTCGGACACTAATCTAATTGTTAAGTTATATCGTATGAAAAGGATTAGTTTTAAATTTTGTAATGAATTAAATTTTATTTATTTTTAATGATTATAATAATTATAAATCGATGCATATTTCTGTAAAACAGATATTGATTTATAAAATTCAATAATAAAATAAAGTTATTATAAATTAATTCGTGTATATTTTATTTGAAATATAAGTTGTAAATAATTTGAGAAAATATGCCGTTTGTAATGACTACCAAACTAGATAATTATTGATTATTAATTTAATAATATTTAATTAAAATTCTATTTAGTAACTTTTTAATGCATAACAAAAAATAACAATACAATGTAAATATAAATGCATAAAACAATTAAACTTTTAACAACTTAAATACACCTTGTGAATTAAAACAATTGTTTATTAACATGTTTTATTTGTATTAATAAACTAAGGCACGTATATTATCAAAGATAATTTATTATATTATGAAAATAATATAGCAAGTGGTTTAAAATATATTCTAACTTATTAGACTAATTATATTATGTGTAATATTGCTAAATAACAAAATTAGACAAATGTATACTGTATTAATAAATATTTTATATTTAAAGTACAATAGTTAATTGTATTAAAGAGTTTATAAAATTGTTAATTAACCTCTCATTAAAATTTTTTAGGATCAACAAAATGAACAGAATATATAAAATCGCAACTTTATGTTTGATAAGTTGGATTAAATTTACAGGTAAGTTATATAAAATTTAGAAATACATTATGTAAATTGATTTATATAATAGATTAATAAAACATGTTACTATTTAATAATACCACATACTCAGAGGGCCAATCAGTAAAAATTTACAATGTTGGTAAGTAAATTTACCTATGAAGTACTAAATAAATATTCAACTATATTCAAATTTAAATTACCTAGCTGTTACGCCAATTGTCAATTCATCGATCACATACGAAAACCTGTCTGTTTGCAATATCATTTGCGGATCAAATTTCGCAAAACTACTAAATCACAAATTTATATTAATTGGTTAATAAATATATAGACAATATGGTATGGAAATTAATCTGTATTTATTAAGCTACAAAACGGTGCAAATCATTTGTCTCTATCTATTGTGGATCCGGAGATAATCTAATCTGAAGAGGTCATCCTCCAAAAAGTGTTTGGAAAATGCCATGAAATGTATTTTTTAATATTTTAAAAATAATGTCGGAAACTAAAAATATATACAAATCATGTTTTGTTTATTTAATGCAAATAATATCCAATACAAATAACTAATTTTTAGTGCATATTCTAAAAAATTTTACCACTTTACATCGAATTTATATATAATATTTAAAGATTTTCAAATAGATTTTTTCGAAACAGAGTTCTAAGTTGAATAACTTGACTAATATTTAAGATATAAAAAAGTTAATATTATTATCGTGTTCAGCGTTAAATTTCACATAAATTTCATGTATTATATGTTAATTAAAA